TACATTCTCAGGCCTGTTGGGTGCTTTCTACACCCCTTTGTGGCACTGAGCCTGCATTTGGATCCAGGGGGCTCGATCCACGTATGGGATCGGAGTCCAGAATGGCTAGAGGAAGCACGTAGCACCAGCACTGTTGCTTACCACCTCCCTCCTTGGGCCACTGTCCGGAAGCTATTCAGTCCTGGAGACAAAAGCTGAGAAGGGACCATAGTGCTCCCCCAGACTAGTTCCTGTCTGAACTAGGGCAGGTCTTTTCCCAACACATTCCCTGTGATTACAGCTTCACCGTGTCGAACTAGCAGTATGGACAACCACGTGGATTGGGCTCTGGCATCTGCTCCAGCTCTGCCCCCTCCCCCGGGCTGTCAGCAACATCACATGCCGATGCTTTTCCTGGAAGGCACTCCGGAGATTTTGATTTCATTAGGCCAGTCTTGCCAGTTCTCTTCGGGGTCCCCTAAATACCAGAGCATTTGTGGTTCAGTTAATTACAGTTTAATCCCCGGGTGCTCCTAAATCTGCCTAAAGTTTGCAGTTCGTAGACCATGCTAATTGAACTCAATTTAAACTTTGATAGCAAGTAACTTTTAGCGAATTTCCAGGCAGCAGCAGATTTCCAATTCCGGAGAACAGTGTCTTTCACCTGAAGTTTCATGGACAAGAAAACACATGGGTCACGTACTTCCCCCTTGCATGTAAACCTGTGGAAGGGGAGGACTTGTTGGTAACTTATCCATGGTTTTGTCCCTGCTGCTGTTTCCTGCCCCACTGGAGATACCATGCTGGGGGCAGAACTCCTGGCCGTTGATGGGCCACGGGGAAGGTGTTCCATATCTTGCAGGACCTGTTGTAGAGGGAGGCATCATCCTGGTTCCTGCACACCTCCCAAAAGCAAAAGGGGTTCATAGAGCACAGAAGCAGGCTTCATGCAGCTCAGAGTAGCAGGAACGTACCCCGGTTCCTGGTGGAATTAAGGTCCATATAGCAACTTTCCTGCAGCTCCTCTGCCTGCCTGCCAAGTGGCAGCAAGAAAAGCCACAGCTTTCCCCCCCCCCCCTTCCCTACCTTACTGGAGTCAGCTGATTTTTATAGGCTTGAAGGTCAGGATCCCTGGCTGGTGTGAATCAGCATTGTTGCATTGGCTTCAATGGAGCTACATCCATTTAACATTAAGAGTGGCCACACTGGGTCAGACCAAAGGTCCCTCTAGCCCAGTGTCCTGTCTGCTGACAGTGGCCAATGCCAGGTGCCCCAGAAGGAATGAACAGAACAGGGAATCATCAAGTAAGCCCACCTCATGTTGCCCATTCCCAGCTTCTGACAAACAGAGGCTAGGGACACCATCCCTGCCCATCCTGGCTGATAGCCGTTGATGGACCTAACCTCCATGAATCTATCTAGCTCATTTTTGTTAAACTCCAGGCCTTTGCAACATCCTCTGGCAAGGAGTTCTATGGGTTGACTGTGTGCTGAGTGAAGAAATACTGCCTTTTGTTTGTTTTAAACCTGCTACCTGTTAATTTCATTTGGTGATCCCTAGTTCTTGTGTTATGGGAGCAAGTAAATAACTCTGACGCCAGCTGAGCCTCTGATTCAGTATTTTGGGTCTAGAAGTAGCTGTCAGTGCCCTTTGAACCTAAGCCTGATTCAGGTACAGCCATGGCATGACTGTCAAAGATGCTGGATACCTGCAGTTTCTGCTGACATCCCTAGGAGCTGTGGGGGCTAAACACTCAGCTACGAATAGCTTATCGGGGCTTTTAATGAGCCTCCTTAATAAGCCCCTCATGGCAGTTGTATGGAAGTGTTTCTTGCCCTTTGGTTTAAATACTTTAAACACCCAGTTATGTTTTTCTGTAGATCCCTAGAGGCGCGCGTCTCGTGGGATCTGCCGACTGGGGTTTTCTGATTCTCTCTCATGACTAATGAACGCCTTGACATAAAAGACCTGTGTGTGAACCCCTCCTACGTACGGCTTCAGACTGTAATTTTAGTCTCCCAAAAGGAAATTCACCAAAACCTATGAGGGGGAGAGAAAAGAACCCTTATCCCGCTGTGTTTCCCCTGCTTGGAGAACAGAGCGACTTCCAGGGCAGGCTGTGAATGCATTGATTGGATTACTGGGAACGTTGGGAGTGCGCGTGTTGTGTATTAGCCATGCAGATTGCTCACTGCTTTTGTGGTGACTGAAGTAATTACTAACGCCTCCCCAAAGCCGCTAGAATTTTGCCTGGGTGAACCTGCTGTCAGCACTATCTGCACAGGGAGAAAATGCTAGCAGAGACCTGAAAAATAGCCAGTGGTTTCCAGATGTTGGGCGAGGGGCCTAACATTAGGCAGCTGCAGGTGGATGAAGTGGAACTGGCCAATGAGGCAGAAGTGGCAAATACAATGGGTGAAGCCAGGGGTGCTGCAGCTGGCTCCACACGATCTCTGGCAAAGCTCCCTGCGTCTGCTGCCATTTTACAGAGGGGGAAGCTGCAATGTGATCCCCGCGTAGTAGGGAGTGTGGTAGCTCACTTACGGTTTTCTGTGCACTCTCAGGTCCTCCTGTGACTCGTGTTCATAGAGGGGAAAGTACCCCGACTTCCCCATGCAAAATGGCAGAGAACCACTTAGGGATGTCAAGGTATAGTCGACTACATAATTATTTGTTGAGTACTTACTTACATACACTCACTCACTCGCTCTTCCCCCCCTCCCCCAGGCAGAAAGCAGGGGAGGCAGTGCATGCCAGCTCCCATGGAGCCATTTCCACCCCCTCTTCCCTCCCGCTGCCTCCCACAGAGGCAGTGGGGGGGGGGGGGGGGGCGGGGAGCGGGGCGCGCAGGTCAGGCAAGAGCTGGCATGCATGGGGAGCCAGCCCCCCTTCCATGCCGGCTTTTTCAGAGCTGCCTCCCCCCGCCTTCCATAGAAGTAGTGGGATGGGGAGGCAGGAGCTTAAAAGCCGGCTCCGTGAGTACTGGCTCTTCCCTCCCCTGCTTGTAAACATGTAACTGCTAAAATGTCAAATAGTTGCATGTTGACAGAAATGCCCAATAGGTAACATCCCAGGAACAATTGCTTAGGTGCTGTTCTTTTGCTACAGTTAATGCTCCACAAAGATACCCCCAATTTCTCAGGGACTTTGTGTCTTTTCGTTAATTGCACGTGGGCTTACTTAAAGCATCCATGACGAGTTCCACAAAAACACGCAACTCCGTTGGGTCTTCCATGTGGACTGCAGGCTCCAAGGTGCATTCCACAATGAAAATCTTCCTCGCCCCCTTGTTTCCAGGTCCCTCTTTGGACTCCCCCATGAAACTCTCAAATCTCTGCTGTTTCACACTTGCCATGTGGGGGATGCTTTTCTGCAGTGCTAGGGGAAGCGGTTCAAGAAAGCTATTATTTTTGCCCCTTGCCATCAGCAGCACATAACCCAGAAATATTCCTGTTGGGGGCTGCAAGGAGCAAATATGATAGACCCACTGATCCATTACGCTGCAGATGGTGCGGGCCATTGGCATGTGCAAGATGGAGATGTTTTACAGATGAAGTGTGTGGTGCAGGAGCATCCAAAACCCCATGAGAACAAAAGCCATTAGTGGCTTGTCTGTTCCTTTGCCTCCCCATTGGTCTTCACATTCATCAGCCTGTAGGAGCCATTGTAGTCATTAAATCACCCAGAACACTCTGGGTCAATACATCACTGAAGAACTCTTTGGAGTTATAACAGCCATCTGCCTGTCATTACTGACTCTGCAAATCTCAGACCCTCCTGCATGGCAGACCTATGTGGCATTTCTCAGCTTTCCAGAAGGGACAGCTTAGAGCTTTAAGCACCGCGTTTGAAATACCTTAGATTCCTTGGAAGCAGTGGGTTGAATTCCAGTAGGGTTAAAAAACAAACCCACCCACTGTCACCCCTTTGAGAAAATTCCGTGCAGGTTTAATAAAGTCCTCTGGACAAAACTCTA